CTTTTCTGGGTAGAGGGGATAAAAGTCTCAAAATCATAGAGGAAAACTTTGTAGGCAAGATTCTCAAAATCTAAGAACAGGACCCACAACTTGGGAGTACCCTATGGAACATTCCACCTTGGCAAACATACGTTGAGCACTTGGTAGGTGTTGGGGAATGTGCTGGGCCTTTCTCGCTTGTTTAGTTCTCATGACCACCCATAGAAGTGAGTGATAATATTACAAGACTTACTCTAGGTTAGGGGTTGGTAAACTTTTTCTGATAATGGCCAAGGAGTAAATACCATAGGCTTTGTGGGCTTTTCAGTTTTTGTCACAGCTACTCAGTACTGCCAGAGACAATACATAAGTGAATGATACATAATCGCTGTATAGCAGTAAAACTTTATAAAAACAGGTGGCAAGCTAGATTTAGTGACATTTGCTCCAGGTCATTTTCTCAAGGTGGGTTCCCCAGAAGCAAATCCTAAGACTTGTTTTAGGATTCATGTCCCAGTCATTTATGAGGAATGTGCTTGCAGGAGAAATTAATAACAGAGGGAGCAAGGAAGGGGGAAAGGCCAAGGAGAATTGTGATCATAGGCAAAGTTTCCCTGAGAGTAGTTTCAGCCTAAAGTGTCAGAAACCCTAAAGGTCAGAAGTAAATACATTTCAAAACCTAGGAACACTCCAAGGGGATCTAGTCAGAGCACTAACAGTGTCCACTACTGCATGCACCAAGTAAGTGGTGAAGTAAGAAAGCCATCGGACTTCAGAGCTACTATTTCTCTTGCTGCACAACATAAATGGGCATAGAAAGGCATCTAGAACTCTATTCAAACTGACAAAATAGCCACATTGTGAATTATAGCCTAAAGGTCATACTGATACAGGTAAAGATGGAATGTCATTACCAAAGGTAAATAGACCTCTTAAAAACTGGGAGACAGTTTAGCATAGTGGTTTAATAGCTCTGGTTCTGGTATGAGATAGTCTTGTATGCAAATTCTGGCTCAACCACTGATAATGTGACCTTAGGATCAAGTTCCTTATCCACTTTGGGCAGCCTCATTTTCCCTATTGAGAACATGTAATGGTAATAATGGTTATCGTCTATATGGAGCTACCTTAAAAGATGAACTGAGATAATTCTTACAAAGTGCTTAGCATAAAACCCTATGTTTAATGACTGTTAGCTATCATTATTATTATTATTATTGAAAATGGGAGTCAGAAATTGTGAAAATTGTGTGTCTCGTACCCATGGCTAGAATATCTTCATGGTAGATGCAGGCATATGGCTCTCCCAGCTTTGCCAGTATCACACAACTCTGACTCTCCTTGCTTGACTCTGTGCTTTATAGGAATCTTCTGATCATAATTTGGCTCAGTTTATATTTTTTATATAGAGAAAAGGGACTAACCAGGACTGGCAGCCTACTCAGTCCCTATGATGGTTATTTTTCCTATTATAAGTTAGTGAATTGGTATTTTGGCTTATACCTCTGTCTCTTGGTGCTGGGATAGGATCCATATAGCTCTGGGCTCCCATGTGATGGGTTCTTGTATGTGCTCAGTTCTCCAGGGCTCTGCTTCCCTAAAGCCTGATCCAGGGAAACAATGGCCTTCCCAAGCCCCTTCTTAGTTGCTAGCCCCCAATCACTGAGACAGCAAGATCAGAAATCACTGCTTTGTAAGCACGATTGGCTTTATGGTCAGGTTTTGTGGTCTCTTCGAAGATGCTATTCCTGTACCAAGGGGGACAAAGAAAGGAAATTTGGGTTTGTCCACAGTTGGGAAGAGCTCTATGGGCATATGAGATCAGATGTGGGATGGTGAAGAGTTTGTGGGTCAGAGAACCCAGTGGGAATTCAGCCTGAACTGACTTAGGATCTCTTGTTCATCCACCCTCACCTCTCATCCCATGCAGTGTATCTCTCTAGGCTTATAGTTCCAGTGTGGAAAAACACACTCTGGGTTTTCCTAGGCAAGACAGTACTCTCCCTCAGCTGCAGGTCCTGAGGAGGCACATAGGAAGGGGCAGCCGAGGACCAGCCAGTGGTCTCTGGGTGCCCTGCCCAAGTGCCAAACCCTACTAGATTAGGGCTATCCCAACAGCTGATCCTGTGATCCTCTTATGAGGCAAATGAGGATTAAAGGCAATCTAATCCCTAGAGCTCCGGGTCCACCAGAACTGTCATCCAGCTCCATTTCCAGGCTGAGCCTCACCACAAGAGGGCCTGGAAGAGGCCAGCATACCTTCGAAGGAAGTCACACCTGCTATGCTGCGGGTCCACATCCTGTCCTCTAACTTCTGCCCGACCTTTCACGATACTCTGCCCTCTGGGACTGCTTCCCAGGTACTTCCCACTGGTGTTAGGATTCTTCAAGATTCTGCTTGGTTGTCAGCTTCCCTGAAAGCCTTGTCTGACTCACTGGAGGTGGGGACAAGAGCCATCCTATGTGTTTTCACAGACTGTCCCTATAGAAACTCTCATTGCATTATATGGCAATTGCCTGAATACACATCTTTTCCTCCCACTAGAGCATGAGCTCCCTATTCATCTGCAGAACCTAGCATGTAGTGCTCAATACATTAAGGAGTTACAAGAAATCCACTCCACTGTGTGTCCTCACCGAGTTCCCCTACATTTGTCAATTCTGCCTGGGAAACCAAAGCAGGATACTAACCCCTAACATGAAGTCTTCCCAGGGCTGATATCCTCAAAGGTTCTTTCTCTGAGAGGTTAGGGATTAGGATAATACTAATATTATCCAAATAATGTTATGGTCCTAATGATGCCAATATTATTATCCCCATTCTGCATATGAGGATATTGAGGCTCAGAGTTGAATGACTTGCCATTGCTGTATGACTAGAAAATTGCAGAATCTAGATCTTTGAACTTGAGGTTCAGAGCTCCTTCAGCTACTCTACAGCTGTTTTAGATTTTAAATTTAGTGTATCACATCCTACATGTAGGCTAGATACTGCTATCTTCATTTTTCTCGGTAGGAAATCCAGGTTCCTGGTACGTAAACAACTTGCCCTAGTCTACACAGCTAGGAATGTTAGAGCCAGGATATGTGCCCAGGTCTGCGTGACTCTGAAGTTTGTGTTCTTGCTTATACCCCGCTGCTTCTCCCTCAGTATGGGAGGGTTTAAGCTGACAGAAAATGGGCCAAGAGTGGATGGATAATTGGAGGAGTGAGAACCAAATCTAACCTAGCCCTTTTGGCACCCATCCCATCTCTTCCTATCCCAGGCTGTGGGAACAGCGCCCTGAGCTATGAGCTGTTCCTTGGGGGCTTCCCTGATGTGACCAGTGTGGACTACTCATCAGTGGTGGTGGCTGCTATGCGGGCTCGCTATGCCCATGTGCCCAATCTGCGCTGGGAGACCATGGATGTGCGGACCTTGGACTTCCCCAGTGGCTCCTTTGATGTGGTGCTCGAGAAGGGCACGCTGGATGCCCTCCTAGCTGGAGAACGAGATCCCTGGGCTGTGTCTTCTGAAGGTGTCCACACTGTGGACCAGGTGCTGAGTGAGGTGAGGGAGTAACGGGAAAAGGTAGACCAAGAGGTGGGGAGGAAGGACTCGAGTTTCAGGAGATTGAAAGAACTCAGAAGTCAGAAGGAGGTATAGTTTGGAGTAGGTAGTGGGTCACCTTTAGGACCATGGTTACCTGAAGGAGGGAAAGATTAAGCTGGGTAAAGATTCTAGGGGACTGGAGTGGTCAGGCTCACAGATGCTGATGATTGGCTACTAGGTGGCCAATAGGGATGAAGTAAGAACCAGGTTCCAGATAGGTAACACACAGTAGGAGGGTGAACAGTTGACAGGAAAGCAGTGCCCCTGCACCTGACATCACTCCCATGCTCCTTCCTGGGTAGAATATAGCCCTACCCCCATGAAATCAGTAGGGGCAGAGAAGGAGGCCCACTCTTGCCATGGAGACCCCTGAGCTATGGGATGTAAGGTAGCATCTGGGAGGGCATCTGGGGCAATACTAACCTTTGAGAACCTGGAGATGGACTCCTCACCAGTGGCTTCTCTGTCTGCCTTGCAGGTGAGCCGGGTGCTGGTCCCTGGAGGCCGGTTCATCTCATTGACCTCAGCTGCCCCCCACTTTCGGATCAGACACTATGCCCAGGCCCGATACGGCTGGTCCCTGAAGCATGCAACCTATGGCAGTGGCTTCCACTTCCATCTTTACCTCATGCAGAAGGGCAAAGAGCTCACTGTAGCCCAACTTGCCCTTGGGACCGAGATCCTCTCACCTCCTAGACCTCCCACCTCACCCTGCTTCCTCCAGGACTCGGATCATGACGACTTCCTCAGTGCCATTCACCTGTGAGGCCAGAGGCATGTCCTCCAGTCCTCCTTGCCTTCTTCCCTGGGCTCTTCAAGTACTTGGAATTCCTGATTCAGGGCTTAGGACTGGATTCAAGGTGCTCACAATCCCAGAGGCCCCATGCCTAAAATAGAACTGATGGGAGCAACCCCACCTGAAACAGTATAGCCCGGGTTAAACTAGATCCCAAAGCCAAAGTTTCTGGTTTCCTTCTTAGGTTCCTCAGATCTCTCCTGGATTCCCCAACTTCCTCCCCTACCCTACTGAACTACCAATGATTCATCCCCTAGGGCAAAGCTCAGCACAACTAACTGTTCCACATGCCAGCCAGACTCAGAGACCTGCATCCCTGGGGCCTATTATTGACCCCCATTCAACCTGGATGTATCTACAGAAGGCTGCAGACTTTGAATCGATTGCTTTTTGCTTCTGATCCCAGTTCCAGCCCCAGCTCTAGTGACCTATCCCGATTAGGTTGTGTTTACCAAAGGAAGCTACATTGTAATGATGTCCTCAAGCCAGACTGGCCTGCCTGTGTTTACTTGGCAACCCTCCCCTACCAGCGACATGCACTTGAGATTCCCAAGTTATCTGTCCCCCTCCCCAAAAGGGATTGGAGCCATTTTGGCCTGGCTCCTGAGCAGACCAAAGCAGTGGCCACACACACACAGGGAGGTCTGTGTTTATTCACACACTCCTGGTACAGTGAGGATGGAGGAACATTTACAAAGGACACCCCTGGGTTGAAAACATCTCCAGGGCCACAGGTGTCATCCAAAGGTGCAGAGCAGTCCTCACTTGGGTTCCCAGGGGTAGGATGCAGGGGTCCAAGGTAAAATCAGACCTGGACCCTTGGAAGGTGATACCTTGAGAGGAGGGGTCTGCCAGAGAGCCGCCTGGGGTCAGGCCTGGGCAAACTGGCCATGTGGTTGGTTACCATGTTGGGGGCTTGTTCCATCTCAGACTCAACACCCATCCTATCTGCCAGGCGCAGAGGAGCGTGGCCGAGACTGTGGGGGAGGGAGGGCACGAACCATGAGGGGAGCCAGTAAACAAAGAGTCGGATATAAAAATACAAATGTGCTGAGGAAGTCCCTTAGAAAGAGGCTAAGGCTGGGGTCACGCCAGACAGGGGTGGGAGAGAAGAGCAGCCTGGAGGGCTGGGCTCAGGTAGGTGGGAAGCTCATGCAAATACGCAGCCAAACATCCCTGGCTGCGCGCGCGCGCGCACGCGGATAGACCCCGGCCGGCAGCCGGCTCTGCGGACCAGACCGGCCGGAGAGGGGCGGGGCAGGGGAGTCGTGCGGGAGGGGGCGGGTCGGGGGCCGAGGGCCGCGGGTCTCTGTGTCCGTTCCGGTGTGCGGGGTGGGGCTGCGGCCCGAGGTTCTAAAGTGCATGAGCGCGGCGGCGGACTCCGGGCCGGTCCGCGCCGCCGCCGCCGCCGCCGCCGCCGTGGTGCTGAAGCGGACAGCTCCGGAGTGCCGGGCGGCGGCGGCAGCGACTCCAACCCGGAGTCGGCGCGGCCCTGCAGCCCCCGCCCGCGGGCGCCTGGGCCGGGGCGGGGGGCGCCGGCAGCCGCATCGCCGGCCCGCGCTCCTGGCCGCTGCGGGGCTGGGCCCGGAGCCCGCCGCCCGAGCCGGCGCGTCTACACTCCGGACGGCGGCTTCTCCCCCATCCCCTTCAGCACGTCGTCTATCCGGTCATCCTCGATCACCACTGCGCAGGGAGAAAGCGCGTCAGCCGCGCGGCCTCGGGGGGCGGCGGCGAGAATGGGCCCCGTGTCCTCGCGCCCCGCTCAGCTACTTCGCGTGGCCCAGCGACGCCCCTCGGACGCCCGTGCCACCGTGCCCTCCCGATCCGAATCCTCCTGCCGACTCGACCCACTGCCGAGCCCAGCCCCCTTGGACCCTCGCTCTCTCCCCGTGGAGGAACGCCCCCCTCTTCCAACCAGTTGTTCTAGCTCCCGGTCCGAACCCTCCCGCCTCTGGAGCTCTCCTCCATCCGAGCTGATCCTTCTTTTGCTAGTGGGAGCCCCCTCTTCAACAGACCCTCTTCTCCAACAGAATTTTCGCCTAGTCCAACCCTCTCCTCACCCTAACCTCGCCGCCTGAAGCCCTCTTAAGGTCCTGGCACCAACAGAGCCCCCTCCCCATGCAGACAACGAGGACAACCGACTCCCCAGCCCCGCCGTCCTCTCTGCAATCGGACGTCCCTTCGCACCCGAGGGTTCTTCCGTAGCATCCACCGCCTCAGCTTTGGATCCTGAAGAAACGGCCCGTAGCCCCACGTTCCCACTTCAGGCAGCCCCCAAATGCCCCGGACGGCCCCTCCCCCTCGCCCGGGTGTCAGGGCTCTGCTTCCAGAGGTGGAGAGCATCGAATCCGGGGCACCGCGTTCCCGGGAGAGGGGAGGAGAGGGACACGAGACTGCAGCGGGGACACCCCCCCCCCCGAAACCCTGGCCGGCGAGCGGCTGGCTGCGCTGGTCTGCGGCAAGAGCTGCGGGCGCTCGGCGGGGAACCGCAGCCGGGGGGCGCCGGCGAAGGGTTTCTGGGTCAGGCGGCGACTCCGGGCCCCGGCCGCATACCTCTCTTGGCTCGGCCGATCTGGCCCAGCTTGGGGGGTCGCTTGGCTTGATTGCCCGCGAAGAAGGAGTTGGTGTCCTGCAGGCGGCAGCTGAACGAGAGGTCGGAGCCCTCGGGGTCGGCGGCGAAGCGGCCCATCTTGTCCTCACTGTAGGGCAGGATCTCGGACATGGCGGGCGCGGGGCGGGCGCGGGGCGGGCGCGGGACTGCGGCGGGGCGCGGGCGGCGGGCTGGCTGCCGGACCGGCCCTAGCTCAGCGGGGTAGCCGGCGGAAGGATGAAGTCATGCAGCATCCGGGGCTGCGGAGCCGAGCGGGGCCTCCTCCCCCGCGCCTCCGCCTCCCGGGCCGCTGGGCAGGCGGCGGCGGCGGAGGTGGTGACGGGGACCGGGCGGGGGCGGGGGGCGGGGGCGGCGGCGGCGGCAGGAGCGGAATGACGATGAGCGCCCGGCTGCCGCAGAGCGCGGCAGGCGGGGCGCGGTGGAGGCGGGGCGGGCACCGGCCCGGGGAGAGAGGCGGGGCGGGAGGCACCGGAGCGCGCCCAGCGCTCAAACGAGGGCAGAGAGCGTTAGTGGGAGGGTTCTGCACAAAGGCGGGAGTGGCGGCTGGGAATCGTACCGGCCAACGGGTGCAGGGTCTGGTCGGGAGAGGCGGGACTGGGGAGGCGCGGGGCGGGAGCGAGCCCCGCAACCGAGGAGAGGGAGGAGGGTCTGGCCAAGAGTCTAGGGAGGCGAGCTAGGGGGACTGGGAATTGGGGGGCAGGTCGGGGCCTGGAGCCTGGAGCCTGCGCGGCGTTTGAAAGAGGGGGCCTGGGCAACTCGCTGGGAGGGGCGGCTGGGTCCTGTACTGAGGGCTGGACCGGGAGAGAACCCGCGGATTGGGGAAGAGCTCAAGCGGGCGGGTGAGTGGTGTCACCGCCGTTGGCGCGTTTGCGTCGGGTTGGTCTTTGGGTCTTAAACTGTTTATCTGGAGTATTTCTCTGCCCTCCTCTGTCTGTCTCTGCCTATCTGTATATCACTCTCTCTGTGTGTGTCTGTATCTGTCTCTGCGCCCCGTATCGCTTTGTGTCATGGTCTACATCTGTCTCTTAGGTGTCTCTGCCCTTCCGTCTGTCTCCACGCTTGGCCTCCGTACCGACGTGCCACGGTTTCCCCTCCTGAGTCTCTGTGTATTTCGGTCTCTCCTAGGAGGAATCTCGCTACTGGACCCACGGGCCCTCACCGGGGTAGACCCTCAACCCTGCTGCGCTCAAGCCGAACTCCAACTCCAAGCGCCTGCCGCGCCCCGCAGATCTCCCGGCTCTGGAGGCTCAGGCTGCGCGCGCTGTGCAGGAGGAAATGAATGGCGGCGACGCGGGGCGCGCCTTGGCTGCAGGTGGCTCGGGGAAGCCCGGAGCGCCTGAGGACGCGGCGCAAGCCTGTGGGTATCCAGAGGCAGATGGGGAGGGACAGAGGGTACGTCTGCCGTCGGTGCGGGGAATCACATGGCAGTTCTCGCTGCACCGACGGGAAGGCTCCCTCGTCTCTCCCTTACCCCCAGCTGGCCGTCAGCGGCAGCGTCACCTTCTTGCTAGTGCGCAGGGGCTCTGGCGCAATCACTGGCCTTGAGGGGGCGGGGTGACGACAGCAATGATCAGGGTAATAATCATCTCGTACATTCTGTCCATACCCCAGGCGGAGGGGTCTCCACTTGCTGGGATCCACTGTCTCCGAAGCGCTTTACTTCCTTCCCTTCAAATTACAGTTAGTGAAGCTGCCTGGTGATGGGTCTCCTTCTTCCCACAACTCCTCACCAAGTGCTACCCCTAGGGATGCAGAGGTTAATGCAATTTTGGCTGCCTTCAAGGACCAAGATTGGGGGTGGGAGTAGTCTCAGAGAATACCTCTCTGGGTGTTCATTCAGGACCCCAGACCTGGAGTCCCATCCCTATCAAGTCCTCCTCAGCTGCCTCCTGCTCTCTGGGATGAGGGCCAAAGCTGGAGGTGGAGGCCCAGCTGGAATGAAAGGAGCCCTGAGACCTGGAAGGGCAAGACCCTGGAGCTCAGGGTCACTAGGAGAGAGTCCAGAAAATTCTAACCCCATTGGAAGTTGTCTAGCAATAGGTTCCAGTCTGGCTCTGCCACTTTCTTGTGACCTTCAACTTAAGGCTTTACAATTATAGTTTTAAAAAATACATTCATAGGACCCTGAATTGTTTTCATAATGTAATAGAGCATTAACACTGAATATGTAAAACAAAAATCTTTCAATTATTTTAATCTAAAAAAATACATTCATTTTGGGGCATCTGGCTCAGTTGGTGGAGTGTGAGACTCTTGATCTTAGGGTTGTAGGTTCAAGCCCCACTTTGGGTGTAGAGATTACTTAAAAATAAAATGTTTTTTTAAAATTCGTTGATTTGTACTAGTAACATTTCAGGAAAACACAGAAAATCACATGAAACTTTAATATATATCCTTCTAAGCTTCTCATGTGTTTGCATACTATGTATATCTCTGAGCCTCTGAAACATTAGAGATGATAGAAGCTACATTAAGGACAATTTTGTAGATGAAATTGTTGTCCTGATGTGAGGTGGGTTGTCTCAGGGGGTAATGAGCTTCCACTCACCAAAAGTGCTAAAAGGACCATGAAAGTTCTTGCTAAGTATGAGATGAGAGTGCTGTTGGGGAATTGCAGTTATTCTCTTGTCTGCCTCCAGAATGAAAAGATTGGAAGAATAACAATTTAACTTGGAATTTATTTGGTTAACTCCTTCTTAAATAATCTTATTCCAGGCCCTGCTGTGTGTGCTAGGTCATGATTAAAGCAAAAGACCTAAGTGCAAAATCTGAATGATACAGCATTATATAAGCTACAGTTATGTTGTAAAAATGTTGGACGGGGGTCCTTTTTAAAAATTTTTTAATGTTTATTTATTTTTGAGAGATAGAGACAGAGCACAAGCAGGGGAGGAGCAGAGACAAAGAATTTGAAGCCAACTCCAGGCTCTGAGCTGTCAGCACAGAGACAGAAGTGGGGCTCGAAGTCACAAACTAGAAGATCATAACCTGAGCTGAAGTTGGGCACTTAACTTACTGAGCCACCCAGGCAGAGGGAGGTCTTTAAATTATTATCCTCTACTTAGAATTCTAAAGTTTTGCATCCCTACCATTGCGATGAAATTCATTTTCACAGCTAATATGAAATTAAGTTTGTTTGAACTTTTGTGACAGTGCATTGAATTTCTCAACTGGAAGTTCCTCAAAGCCTAGTGGACTTGATCCATATGTTCTAAACAGAATACTATGCTTTTTGTCAATTGAGTAATATTGCCACCTTTATTAAGGTGGAAACTTTAGACCTGTGTAGCAAGTTGAATAGGAGGCCCCTAAAATTCCTGTCCACCTAGAACCTCAGAATGTAACCTTATTTGGAAACAGGGTCTTTGCTGATGTAGTTAGTTCAACTAAGATGAGGTCATACTGGATTAGGGTAGGTCCTAAATCCAGTCACTGATGTTTTTATAAGAAGATAGATGCACAAAGACATACACACAGGGTGAAAGGTTATGTGAGGAAGGGGAGCCAAGACAAGGAGCACTGACGATTGCTAGCAGCAAGATGGAGCTGGAAGAGGCAAAGAGTCTTCCATAGAGCCTTCCCGGGGTGTATGGTCCTGCCACTACTTTGATTTTGGATTTTTCACCTCCAGAACTGTGAGAGAATAATTTTCTGTTGTTTTAAGCCACCCAGTTTGTGGTACTTTGTTACTGCAATCTGTTACAGAATACAATCTGTTACAAATAGGTTTGGGTCATCTTTTTACATCTCTCATGACTATGTTTCTCTTTTCTTAAACTCTCTCTGGGGGCTGTTTGCTCCCAGACTATCAAAGGAAGTCCATACCATGAGAGTATTTCTGGGACTCATTTTATTTAGCAGAAGCTGATAAATCACACAAAAAAGAATAAGGCAGATTTGTGTAGATTGACATGGTAAGGTCTCCAACGCCTGCCAAATGTCACCAAATAATGAGGGTAGAGTGTAATTTCATATATGAGGAAAAAGTATACACACACATAGATGCATACCCACACATACACACAGTGTGTTTAGGTATGTAATTGCATATAAATTATAGAAAGATCTTTTTTATTACTTTTGCAATAAAAAGGTTTTGATGATTTTTAAAGGTTTAAAACCAATGATATAGTCCATTTACCAAACACTACACTCTGGTCCCAGACAAATCACTTGACTTAGAAGAAAGAATAATAGTTAAAAGAGCATAGAGTTTAGAATCAAATCAAGGATCTGCCTTCTACCTGATGTGTGACTTTGGGTATGTTAGTAAGCTTCCCTGTGTCTTAGGTTCCTCATCTGTAAAATAGGGACAATGATACTGATAGACTATATCTTATTGGGTCATTGTGAGGAATAAATTAACATATGTGAAGTGCTTAGGTTAAGTGCAGGACAATAGAATTGTTAACTGTATACAGGAAAGCATAAGGAAGAAGTTAAAAGTACTCTCATCATTAGCTATATTAACATTTTATTGCTGTCCTTCCCATCTCTTTTTTAAAAATTTCTTTTAACATTTATTTATTTTTGAGAGATAGAGAGAGACAGATCAGGAGCAGGGGAGGGGCAGAGAGAGAGGGACACATAGGATTCGAAGCAGGCTCCAGGCTCTGAGCTGTCAGCACAGAGCCCGATGCAGGGCTGAAACCCACAAACTGTGAGATCATGACCTGAGCCAAAGTCGGATGCTCAACCGACTGAGCCACCCAGGCGCCCCATCCAATCTCTTTTTAAAATCTGTGCTTTTTAGGGGCACCTGCATAACTCAGTCAATTAAGCAACTGACTTGATTTCGGCTCAGGTCAGGATCTCATGGTTCACTTGGTGAGATCAAGCCCTGCTCAGGCTCTGTGCTGACAGCTCAGAGCCTGCCTGGGATTCTCTCTCTGCTCCTCTCCACTTGTACTTGAGAGATGTTCTCTCTCTCTCTCTGAAAACAAATAAACAAAAAAAAGTAAATAAAATCTGTGCTTTATACTTTTTTTGCTTCACAAAAATAAGATTTTGTAACCCTTTTACTCTCGCACTTAATTCTATATGGAGAAGATTTCCCCATAGAATTAACTCTTCCTTTCAGTCGTTTGTAAATGTTGCATGGTTATCCCATTGTATGGATGTTTGATTAATTCAAAAAGACCTATAATTTTTTTTGTTCCCTTTCTACTTGTTTTTGTTGTTATTACGGACAGTGCTGTGATGGACAAATGTTTTAGGAAAAAAATGTTCCCAGTCAAGTAGTAAATTCTGTTTCTCCCTTCCTGAATCTGGGCTTGACCATCTTACTTGCTTTGCCCTGTAGGGACATTAGCAAGTG